CCGTCTTTTAAAAAGGTTTTCTACATCAATTTACGCGTTTTTCTTATGCGTAGTCAGGGGCCTTTTAAACAAAATTGTAGGCACTTACTTACATTCCGAGACACTTACACCAACTTGTTTCAAGTATAAGAATGAATGAAAAGTCTCATAGCTTCTTTTACCTTGAGGTACGTTGAGTTAGCGCTCTAAGCAGCATAGACATGCGCGTTTATCCATTTGAAAATTCTTCATGAAAGCTTTTCTTCTTGTAGGCAGATAGAGATTATGTTTTTGCTATGTAATTAAACAATTCGGTATTTAATTTTTTTATTGTTTTCTTCATGAAGACATTTTTCTCCTTTAGGCAGATAGCAATTGTGTGTTTACTATGTAATTAAACAATTTAGTCTTTAATTTTACATTATTCTGTGAACTTAATATTTGCTGTAATGTTGAACTTATAAGCTGTAATATTTCTTCTCTGCCTGTTAAAAAGTTTAATTTTTTTTTGCTTAGAAATGTTTAACTGTCAGAATACATTTTTAAAATTATTTTTTTAATTCCCACCTGTCGACACATCTTCAGTGCTTACATTTTAAAGACTGGAGTGTCGATGCATTGTTAAAAGAAGATCATTATGATTTTCGGTGTTATGGCAAATATGTTACTGTTCCTAAATGTTTGCTCTGATATTTAAAGCCCCTGATAGATGGTAACCAGTAATTACAGTAATAAATAATTTAAAACTATATCGCATAATGGTGATAACCTGTAATATTTCAGAATTTACTCTGCTGTAATATCCAGGTGTTTAATAATACCGCTTAGACTGTTTTGATGTAAAATTGTGTCAGAAATTATAGATTTTTACTAACCGAATAATTAAAAATTCTCAGTTCTGCTGGATAATACTTCACAGAAACTTACCTGTTTCATCAATTTAAAAAAATTATTACTAACAAGAAAGGATTAACTTCAAGTAAACGAAGTTTAATTGCTTGCGTCTCATAAAAAAAAGTCAGAAATCCGAAAATCGAAATTTTGTTTTAAGTGGAGTAATGTCTGCTGAACGTTTTTAATACTTCATTAACATTGCATATCAAATTGTGACAAAACTTTGAACTTACTTGGATGCAATAAAAAATACGGGAAATCCTAAAAAGTGAAAGGAATGTTCTGTGCCTGCTTTTTTTTTATTTCCTATGAGAATTAATATCCTTGGAGCGAGGAAGAACTGTGCAGGTGACGTAGTCTAGTAAATTGGTCAAGTTAAGCAGCTAAAATATTCTTTGTTTAAACATGCATTTGAAGTTTAATGAATTGTTTTACCGAACGATAAATTTTTATCTTGTTAATTTTAGATAGGATTCCATGCAATTTAAATTATTTTCCTGCCTCCCCATAGAGGATGTTGTATGTGCCCCAATACTGTGTTCTTGGTTTCGGATTTTATTATTATAATTTAATACTGCAATAAAAATATTTTTTAATACCTTTATGTGCTGGCTTAGATATAATGTATGGAATAGAATCTCCTAGTGTCTCATTTGCAAAATTCGATCTTCAGTTCTGATGTTGATTAATTCGAAAACTTCATGCACTTCTTGTAAAACGAATCGTCCGTTTTCTTCAAGGAACTAAAATATTCTTCATAGAAATTTTGAATAAACCACTGTCAGTTGCTTAATTTTGCTTGTACATAGTATTTTATGAAATGCAGATATATACTAGTTAGTTATACTTAAATGTATGTTCCTTATATAAAAGAAAAAAGGATTTGGAAAAAAAATAAAGTAAATTGCCTGATGTAAAAATGAAGTCTATTTTTGTTTTTATTATGGGAAAAAAAAAAGAGGGAGGATTTCTAAATTATAGATAGTCCCACCTGCGGCCGAGCGGTATAGTTGCTGAATGCTGGTAGTTAGACAGGGGTTCGAATCCCGGCGAAAAGGCTGGCTGCGTAGTTGGGTTTCGTGGTTTGTCCCATATGTAACCTGGATACAAACCAGGTTCCATTAATAAATCCTCCACGAATGCATCGCGAAGGCAGATAACCTTAACCTAAATTTTATACAAAAACTAAGCTTCAAATTCTTGTAAGTTGCAATCAAGTCTAACATAAGATTTTGTTAGTAGATAAATGTATGCAATTCTGAACTATTCTTCACCCCCATTCTTCCACTTATCTATTCAGCCCGTGATTAAAGCAAACTGAAAATCTTGCGAAATCCATATATTGTTTTTCGGTATGCTTGGATGATTAAATGGCAAAGGCGCTTCGAGACGAGATACTGTAATGAGTATGCGCAGGAATTTCTGCGTATAGTAAATCTCTTGTTTTGGGTAAAATGGTTGAATATGAACATACGATAGTTTGGCGATCTATATAAACTAATATTCCACGCATGATTTTAGTTGGCTTTATCATTTTCGTTTTAGATCTTGTGTTTGGATTATATTTCACAGGTAGGAGAGAAGTTGTTACAGAAACGATGAAATGGATTTAATGGATATTTTAGTGCAGAATTTCTGATTTTGAGGCTTCATGATTTCTTTCATGTGGTATAAATAATTAAATGAGAAACATAATCTTTGTAAGTCCAGAAATGCTGGTGTCAGCAGTTATAAAGAATTCAAGATCTTCACGGGCATGCTCTTCTGAATTATGATTTGTTAGCTATCTATGGCATTCGTGTTCAGAAAAAATGTTTAAATGCTGTTTGCTTTTGGAAACTGAAATGCTGATATTATAAAAGTGTTAGAAATAAGTATAAAAGTATTGGGTCGTTGCTAAATGATTATAATGCAATGTTCCGTTTTAATTGCGGTATTTTTTGATCCAGTTGTGCATCAAACGCGTAAAAAATTTCCTAAGATGTGAGGAAACCGGCTTATTTTCCTGGAATGCAGTAAATATTGCGGGAATATAAGGTTGGTTTGGTTTATTTAATTATGGCAAAGCACGCGAGGGCTATCTCCCTAAGTGAGGGATGTCTTCGTGGATGACTTTCAAAGGGAAACTGGCTCCTATACACTTGGGCAAAACTACGAAAACGCCCATGCAGCCAGCCCGTTCGTCTGGAATCGAAACCATATCGGAACTACCAGTGTTCAGCGACTTTAACCACTCTGCTGCTGGTGGGTACGCGAGAAAATACGAAGAGAAAACGCAATTTTAAAAATGGAAGAAATGAATTACAATTTCATCTATCTAGAATCTTTCCAACTAATTAATACTGATTTGTAAAATTGCTTTTATACAGGTATTTTATGAGAAAGAGATTTTATTATAATTTTTAAAAATGTATTTGTAGTTAATTTTATATATATAAATTTATTTTTAGATTTGATGCATTGTATTTATAGTATGCTTCTAACTTGATTTTCAATTCCATTGCATTTTTATAAAATTTATTTGCTAATTAGTAATCATGATAATATTTTTTATCATGCATATCGGATTTTTTTTCCCTCAATCATTTCTGTAGTTGTGTTTGTTCGAGACTAACAACATCTAATTAATTTTCTCACATCATCAGATGTTTGTTGCTCTGTCTTTGAAAGTATAATTGTAAAGATGAAAAAAATATGTGTAAAAAATGACACTTTTCATTGTGCTTTTATGTAATTTTGCATTAACGTTGTTACTTCTGTGTTCTGTGTATTTATTGTGTTCTTATGGTTATTGCATCTTTTATTTTTATTTTGTGTCTGTATAACCTGTAACTGATGCACTGTAATTCATTTTAAGTAATGTTATCAGGAAATGGTTATTTATCTTACTCAGAATTATATTTAGTCTTCTGCTGATATTTGTTTGTTTTAAAATGTGAATTATGTTAACTCATAATGTGAAAATTTGATTTTTGTATCAAGTTTATTCCGAGTGAATTAGCTCTTTCCCAGTTTTTTGTTCATTAATTACATTAAATTAGTACTGCTTATGGTGTTGAAATGTTTTATGTAACAAATAGGTGCTGATTTTTACAGTATGTGCATTTAGGAGAAAATAGAATCAAGAAATGGTGCTTTTTAGCTAATGAAATGTTAAATTCTAAAAATTAAGCAGTGATTCTGAAAATTACAATCAACACACTTGCCAACTCTACCGGCTTTTTATGGCATCTTCTGTTCTCCCAATACATGATAGAATCTTCTGGTTTTTAATTTTTTTAGATTTTTGCTAAGGAAAAAGGTTTCCTTGCGCAAAATTCATTCCCCCATCCTAGTGATTTTCAGTATTCCCCACTTATTAAATTTTATCTGGCCTATATTGCCTTGATGTACTGTAGACGTACTGTAGATGTAGAGCTTTTTATAGAGATTTAAGCAATATTAAATGAGTTAATATTTATATTTTATTTTGTTTTACATCGAAATATATGTTGCATTACCAAGTTTATCCGCATAATAGTATATATAAATATTATTAAATTTGTTTTTATCATATTTTAAAGTACTTTGATTAATTAAAAACTTTTCTTCCGTACTCTGAACTTCCTCATTATAAAATTGCAAGAAAATAACTAAACGAAATTAGTCAAAGAATCTAAAATTTAGAATTTCCAATTAAATATTAATATCAGAATTATATTATAAGCAGTTTAATAACCTAAATCATGTATTATAAAGTAAATTTAAGTAACTTTGTACTTAATTTGTGGTTTGTTAAAATGGCGTCACTTCGTAGCTCGTAAGTCTTCTAGATTTTTATATTTCAAGACTGACAGCTGCAGTATTAATGATTTCGGCTAATTTTCCATCAGCGTAACATTTAATGCAGTGAAGATATTTCTTATTCAAATTAATGTTTTTATTGTGATTATACATAATCTTTCTTAGTATTTCATTTTGTTCAAAAAAAAAAAAAAAAAAAAAAAAAAAAAAAAAAAATGGTTGAGTGCTGAAGATTATCAAATGTTCTGTAATTGAGTATCAAGCTATATGTAGCAGTGTCTATACTTAACTTATTTTGAATGAAAAACTATTATTTTATTTACGTATCTATTTATTTTTTCTAGCCATTGAAGTTTCATTGAGCATTTTCATCTGTCATCTTACCTTCATCTCATTCGGATCACTTCATCTGTGCCAGGGAAGTCACTTCTGTCCTCAGGATTCATCTCCAGACAAAATTGTGTATTTAGTCCGCGAATGCATTCTGTATGATTTAATTGAATAAATTTGTTATTTTATAAATGATTTCCGTTTACTTAACATTAGTGCAAAATTATCAAGATGTTTATCAATGGAAATAAAATACGAATCACCTATTCACTAAAGGTAAAAACATCGATAAACTGCAATACTAATGAGATGCATTCCACTGACCTCATAGATCACCTGACTTATGTGGACCTTTTGTAAACAAACAGTGCAGATGACCACAGAGGTCACGTGACTTATGTACAGCTAATGCAAACAAGCAAAGTCATTTTTCCTCTTCTTCTCTTGCGGAATGTGTCTCATTAGCAAAGCAAAATTTTGAGGAAAGTTTTCTTAAAATTCTAAACTGCCCTCAAAATATGCTGATGAGAGTTGTAATTGTAATGCAGGGAAAATTGTGTTATTTTTCTCAATAAAATCCGTAAAATGTTATTATTTAAAGTAGCAGTAGAAATTTTTTTTAGCTCAAAGGGGTGTTAGTTCAGAAGGGCTGCTAGTCTGAAAACGGCATTTCACTATAAACGGCGAATCTTTTTTAATATTTTTTATTTATTATTATTTTTTTATTGTTGCAACCAAATATTATCGCCCTGTATTATAGTTACAGAAATAAACGTTAGGAAGATCACGAACAGTTTTTAGGTATCCGTTTAGACTCTTCTTTCCATGTATAAGTAATGGTTGACGGTTTTTCCGATCAATAACGTTGCTTATTTTGCACTTAAAAATTTTAATACCATTCAGTTCGAAAGGTTTTTAATTATAGAATAAGTATATTTCTAGAATAGGCCATCTTCTTTCTTCACTTGGGAAAGTACATCTAGAGTTAAGAATTGCAGTTGCTGTGGTGATTTTTTCCGTTATATATAAAAAAAATCTGAATATTTTCACGTTTACCAAGAGGGTAATCTATTGAGTGAGATACAGATTTCGTTGGGGACCAAAACTGTGTTCACAACATCCAATCCATCATTGCGCTAACCATTCTCTGCTTACTGAAGAGGGAATATTTCTATATATTTCTGCAGAATTGCTCCAAAATGCCCTGAAACGTCTTTTTAAAGAACGAGAAACGAACAGCTTATTTGAGAAAATAAAAAGCTATAGTATATGCGAAGCACCCTCATGCTAATTTAGACAGTTTGTGCTTCTAATGAATAATGCATTAATTAAATGTATTATTTAGCAGTCAGTTATATTTTAACGATGCGTACAAGAGCTAATTACCTACTGTTTAGTTCATTAATTCTTAATCTAAATAAATATTTTGATTTTTAATTAAGCATCTTTGCTTTATTAACTGTAGTATATCTAGTAGACAAATTATCTTGACCTCCTCCCTAACTTTTTCCCCCCATGAACTAAATTTTCCATTCGAAAGGGTGCCAGAATGAATGATGATGGCCCAAGAATTTTGTGGGGGAAGAGTATCCCGGATTTTTTTCGAGGAAAGTAAAGACTGTCTCTTTGTAAATCTCAAACAATTTATTATTTCTTCTTCACTTACATCTTAATTTTTGTCACCTAAAAGTCATATTTCTCCGTACAAAAGTCTTTTGACCAGAAAAGTATCAAATAATTAATCTCGCGCTTGAAATTCTTCTAGCTTTAGCGTACGTTATATTTTTCGCAGTTTTCCCAGCCTTTACTCTTTTTGGTTTTCCGTTTGGGACAAGAAGAGAAAACTGTGTTCCCTTTTGCACAGTGATGCAGCTTTCCCACACAGCGGCGCAGCATTGCAAGAATCATTGTCATGAACCAAGACGGAACAGGACGAATATGTAAATCTTTGAGTGGCAAAAACGCTGTCACAGGAAACAGTGCATGGGGTGTGGAATGTAAGGTCTTGCAAGGCAATGGAGATATCCAGCTTTGACACATTTGGGCAGATCAGGTGAACTGAAGGTCAAAATTATGGATTTTATGTCAATCAGTTGACCTCCTTTATGCATCTTGAACCGCTTAGCAGCAGAGACATTTTGATTGCCAAGCTCTGATTCTGATTGCAGATTTCAAACCGATTCTGATTGCAGATTGCCAGAGCACAGCCGTTTCATGAGCTTTGGTTCTCCAGAGTACAGTTCTTTGAATGAATCCTGTAATACAACATACATTGCTCAATTTTGCATGCCTTCCACTGTTTTTTATACACTAAATTACACTATTCATTCCGTACTTTAATGTTAGCAAATTATTCCAATTACATTATTTACATATTAACATGCTTCATACTTTTCTTTGTGTTTTTGCTTAGCAATTTAAACATGAGACCTATACTTAACGCATATACATAGATTGCACTTTGTACTTTTATCAACACGTACACTTGTTGTCTTGTCCATATTACATGGAATAATGGTTGCCAAAGCCTACTCCGAAGGAAGTTGGACTTCTATTTTCCACCCCCAATTTTGAGAGAGAACACTCACCAATCCACACGAGAGAATTTCGGCTGGCCGCATATTTAAGAGTGCCGACATGCCGCACCGACACAATGCATTTAAAAACATCCGTGTCTTAACCGACCGGCCCCGAACCCGGGCCCTTCGGTACCGTAGTAGGCTCCTCTAACGATTATACCGTCTGGGTGACACAAGTACTCTTGTTAATATGAATAGCACGCATCAACATTACATAACATTGAGCATTACTGAATACTGTATGTACAAGATACGAAATAAAAGTGCGTTAAAACTTACTTGCAATATGTTACATCATGAAAGGCTATCAGTTAACAAGAAGATATTGGATGTTGGGAAAAGGGAATCAAAGAAATTAGTTATTGGTATACATATTATTAAGACTAATTTGTATATACTAAAAGATATAAATTATTAAGAATAATTTGTATCTTTATTTTTTAGTAATTATTTTAATTAATGCAATTTATGACACATCTGATTCATGTAAGTTATAATATATCTAACCGATAATTTTTATAAACTATTTTTAAAATTAATTAAAAATATTCTAACGCCATATTTTAGTTACTCCAGAGCAGAAATCACCTTTTGCCGTTTTATCTTAAAATAAGTTCCTTTTTTCTTCACATACTTCTTTCTGGACTTCATTTAAAATAAAAAGTATATTTTCAGCACTATATGCACATTTAAGAAAAACTGTACAAAAAAAAAAAGTTCGTAATAATTTGATATTTTCTTTAGAAAGACAAACAGCCTCTACGAAAATATAGAAAATGAAAAATATGCGGAAACTTGCGACATAATAACAGAAAAAAAAAAAAAAAAAAAAAAAAAATTAAATGAAACTGAAATTGTAATTTTACTCTGGAAATTTTTAGAAATCTTTTAAGAGCACTTTAAAAAAATGTCCATAGATTTACTGAATATTCTAAGAACAGCAGTTTTCTGAGGCATATTCATAATTTAAGCTTTTGAATATACTCGATGTACATTATGAACCCGATCGCTGAATTTTAGTTAATGAATGATTTTATAATACACTTTTCATTCTCTTGCTAAAGTAAATATAAATTAAGTGTCCAAACAATATAAAGCGTCATACATGGAAATTTGAAATGCAATCACGTAACATAAAGGCCTAGTTCCACTTTTATGTCGCGAATATCACGAAGTTTTCCGGCTCTCTGAAGTTGGGCCGCTGAGAACGCATCACAGCGCAGATCTGTTATACGTGAGCTCTGAACGGACTGGGATTGAAGGGTGTGACCAATTGTCTCGTGGGCTTCAAGAAGCAAGGTGAAATGTAGGTAGGTCCCGGAAAGTCCTGGAGTACAGATAAATAAGATGCACAATTAAGTGGGGAAAGGTTTGGTTGAATAATGCGGGCTTCCAATGGTCTCAAGTATTGGTCTTCATTAAGCTGTTCGTAATGAAACGTGTCAAAGTATGCGATAAAGTCCCAATCCTGCGCTCGTTCAAAGAAAAGTTAATTAGTTTTATGTAGGAAGTCTTTTAGATAGTCAATTTTATGATCTTTGTGCAGCCTTTCATTACTCACAAAATAGTGGGTATTTGTCATGTAGTACCTCAGGACTTTGGACTGACGAATTTGCAATTATTTTATGTCTCAGTAGCAGCTTTCCAAGCAGGGGATGCATACGTTAAAATGGGTCTGATTACAGACAAGTAGATATGACTTTTCATGGTGAGGCCAAGTTTGGAAAATTTGCCAATTAATGGTAGGAGACAATGGATGACATACACTGAAGTGGCAAGTCATGGGATACCTCCTAATATTTTGGCGGTCCTCCTTTTGCCCAGCGAAGTGCTCGACGTGGCACGGACTCAACTCGACGTGGCATGGACTCAACAAGTCGTTGGAAGTCCCCTGCAGGAATATTGAGCCATGCTGCCTCTATAGGCGTCCATAATTGTGAAAGTGTTGACGGTGCAGGGTTTTGGGAACGAACTGACCTCTCGATGATGTCCCATAAATGTTCGATGGAATTCATGTCAGGCGATCTAGGTGGCCAAATCATTCGCTGGAATTGTCCAGAATGTTCTAACCAATCGCGAACAATTGTGGCCCGGTGACATGGCGCATTGTCATCCATAAAAATCCCATCGTTGTTTGAGTACGTGAAGTCCATGTATGGCTGTAAGTGATCTCCAAGTAGCTGAAAGTATCCATTTCCAGTCAATGATCGGTTTAGTTGCACCAGAGGACCGAGTCCATGCCATGTAAAAACAGCCCACACCATTATGGAACCACCACCAGCTTGAACAGTGCCTTGTTGACAATTTGGGTCCATGGTTTCGTGGGGTCTGCGCCACACTCGAACCCTACCATCAGCTCTTACCAACTGAAATCGTGACTCATCTGACCAAGCCACGGTTTTCCATTCGTTTAGGGACCAACCGATATGCTCACGAGCCCACGAGAGTCGCTGCAGGCGATGTCGTGCTGTCAGTAAAGGCACTCGAGTCGGTCCTCTGCTGGCATAGCCCAAGGAAGACAAATTTCACCGCACTTTTCTATCGGACACGTCCTTCGTACGTCCTACATTGATTTCTGCGGTTATTTGACGCAGTGTTGCTTGTCTGTGAACATTG